AATTTTGCAATTTAATAAATAACTTACGTTTTTGTGAAACATTTTTACTTCCAAAAATGTCTCAAAATGGCCCTCAAAGATATAACTACTTAATACTTTTATATCAATATAATAAGGATGACTTTCGATTTCAATTTTCAATTTCTGACAAGCTTTTAAACAGCCTGGATACACTTAAACTTGGAAACAAAACCAAGCTGTCAATTAAGAGGTTCTCTTTGTTTACTTGTTATAATATTGCAATAGAAATCAAAAATTAAATGAAAAAGTCGTTTTAATTGTATTGATATAAACGTCGACTAATATATTCTAATCCATCTGTCAACCTCTCTTCCTTTTTTTATCTTCCTCTTTCTAACATTATCATCATTAAGTGGAATGTAAAAATTAAGGAAGACGACATTTAATCAATATGATGTGTTTATTGATGTTGTTATAAAGCAAATCGTGAAACAGTTGAGAATCAACTTATTGAGTGAAATGGGTTTATGTACATAGTACACTACATAATTGCAATGTTTCATGTTATGTGTCCCAAAGTATCTTAGTTTTAGATGAATCTATCTATATATAAAGTTGTAATCTTTATTTGTCTGTTTGTTTGTCCGATCATAACTCAGGAATTCCTGGACCATTTGCCTAACATTTTGATTGGGGAACTCGGGACTCAGGAGAGCCACGGGAATGTTCTAAGTATTGTTTTCTAAGTTGAGTGGGAAAAATAGCGTAATTTACGACCAAGTGCGGGTAAACGGCGGGAGAAACTATGAGTACCCTGGGCAACACTTGGTTCCCAAGCTAGTTAAACATATTTTTATAATTTTATTAAAATTTCTTTTCATTCTCTCCTCTAATCTCTTATTTCGTTTTTACCTCTTTATATTTTCTCCTATCCCAGGACATATAATCTCCTACTCCTCCCGTCTCAAACATATCCTCGCCATCTGAGCTGGTATCTGCAATTTCACGCCGCATCCGCCGTTCATCAGGGTACATACGCCGGTCCTCAGGAGGCGGAGGAGGGCGGAAGCGTGGTGGTCCGCCTCGTCCCATAAATCGTCCTGAATCCCCGACCCCCAGGGACTGGGTTCTCACAGGAAGGTTTCTAACCATCTAGAATAGTATTTTATCTAATAAAACAAAAATGTTAGCTATAGCTGGCCGAGCTGGCCTAACGGAAATATTTCAAAGGAACCCGGCCATGGTTACCTTGGGGTTAGTGTTATAAATCGGAAATCCGTTCCGCGAAATTGCGCGTAACTGTTCTTGAATTGTGCTGAATTGCGCGGAATTTACAGGGCTCACAATTGCGCGCAAGTAAAATCCAATTGGGTTTGAAACCCTACTTGGGCAACGCAGGGCACTTCATCTAGTATTTAATAAAACGAAGGGATTAAAGAAACTAATCAAACTTAAAGATTAAGGCACTATAAAATAAATCAAATGATTCCAACGGATAAAATCTTACATAACTCCCAGGCTTTGAAAAGATTAAAACCATCTGAATTTACAGGGTTTAAGAAACCTAAGAATTCAATGGGGGTTTAAGTAATTTAAAGGATTTTAAGGTAATCTAACGATTAACAGTGATAAAAAACTTTATTAAAGGGTTTAAGGTATTGAACAAACTTTACCAAAGGATTTAAAAGGATTTCAGTAAACCATTAAAAGGGATTTAAGGATATATAGGTGTTAAATAACCCTAAAAAGTGAATGATTAAAGCTTAAATATTTAAAATTGATAAGATAAACCTTTCCGGATTTAAAGGTATTGAGTAAAAACAAGAATTAAGAGATTATTATAGTTTTAAAGAATTTAAAGGAATTAATGAATTTAAGTTTTAAGAAATTGAAAAGCACCAAAATAAATCTTAAATAAAACAACCTGAGAATTTAATGGGATTGATGGCACATTATTAAATCTCTGAACCCTGGAGGGAGGAGGAGGTATCTGCGCTACAACAACTGGGCGAGAGGAGAGTGGAAGAGCATGAACGTCGTTTTCTCTTCGACCAGTGAGGAGAGGTAGGTCGTCTTCAACTGGCAACAGATCCGGCCTGCAGATTTTTAGGATAAAATATTTGTTTATAAAAANTATGATTGACTTAAATTCTAAAATCTGTTCCTATGAAAGTTTCTTGGATCTTGTCCTCTAGGATTCATCATTGGTCCCTCCGTTCCGGACGGATCTAAAAATAAATATTAAACTATAAATTTAATTTTGAACTGAGCTGGACCGAATGCTTAAAAAAATGATTTCAACTATGTTTTGTCACGGAGTAATCCTCTAATATTATAGATCATGCGTTTAATTAAAAGTTTCCAGCTAAGTCTGTAGTATGACAAGAAAACTATTGATGGCTGTCATCTTTGCTCATTCGTTGGGTTAGATAGATTTTTGCATTTTGTAATTGTGAATAAATATAAGGAATAAATTCTAAAGTCTTATTTTACAAATTAATCATTTAAAAAACAAACTTCTTAATGGCCAATCGAAATAAAAAAGAATACAACCAATATCTCGCTGTTTTATGATTACCATTGTATCATTAGTTTTATTTTTACAATAAATCCAGTAAATTTCATTCAATCATTTAGTTTTGTCTGATATTCAGTGGTTGGCGATTATATCAATACAGTGAAGACGACTTTTAATATTTTTCAATGAAAGTTTCGATTTCTACAAAAAAGCTTTTTTAATTACAAGTTTATAAGAAAAAAGAAGCAGTTTATTGACAGCTCTTTGTTTCCATGTTTATGGGTATCCCATGGTGTTTGAAAGCATGGATACACAAATTGAAATCGAAATGCGTCTTCATTGTATTGAGATATATGACAACGACTGAATGAAATAAATATTTTCGTTCACATTCTTTTTTTTTGGTTGCTTTTTTTCATCGATAGTTTAATTTCTTTTATTGAATGTATAAAGAAAGATGTGTAAATAACTCCACAGTGATTCAAAATGCTCTTAGGCAAAATCTTTTAGAATTTTGACTACAACTCTGATAAATCGAAAAATTGAGAAATAAAATCGTTGTAACTTTCCAATTTATTTGTCCAAGGGGATACAAAACAGTATGCTAGTTTGTTAAACCTGAAAACCAGGGCGTTGTGACACTTTAGATAATACCCGGTCTTTAAAATGGATATTCTAGCTGTCAGGATCTCTGTGCCCTAGCGTGGTGTCGGCAATACTTTACAATATATACAATAAACATAGATTTAATTCTCATCCTGTCATTTTCTGGTAGACTGAGTATAAACCTAGAAACCGCAGAGCACTGTCAAGTAAACCAATGTTGGTAATATTTTTAGTTGTTCATTTTCAGATTTTTAAACAACATTTTTGATTTGGTTCTCTCTCACTCTCTCTTCTTTAAAATTATTTTTTGAGGATTTTATGAGTGTGGTTTTTTTTGTAAACATGTTTTACATATCTTTGCCTCTCTATCTCTTCATTTGACTGAATGTAACATTCCTTACAGTTAAAATTTGCAAATATCATACTGATAATGAAAATGCATCAAAACAACTCTAGTCCCACACCTCACCCCTCCCCAACCATTTTACCTCAATTCCTAACACCTCTTAAAAGGACTGTGCCTTAATGTGAAGTTCAACCCTCTATTTATATATTTGAACCAACGAGGTTATAGTGTATAGAGTGATGATGTACGCTAATCCTTTATTAATTTTATAGGTCATAAACTTTACCGATAGCGTACTGCATATTTGTTTATTATAAGTTGACTCTGGCCTAATCTATAGTTTATCAATGTAAGTAAACAGTTGTAAGTGTACAGCACAGCTCTAACTGAGCACACAGATAGACAACTATCAGAGAACTATATAGAGAAATCCCCCCTGATTTGAACACAATATTTTGTCTGTATTTAATGATTTAACGTTGTGTAACTACAAAAACACAAGATAAATAAAAGATATATTTTCGCCATGGACAGTTACAATTTCCTGTCCACAGAATGACATAAGCACTAATTCTAAACAACTTTTTAGTCTAAATTTTAATGAGTCAATTTCTCAGTTGTCTCACTTTCAAGCTAGATTCATTGAAACCCTTAATTTTACAATCATCACACATGTCAATTATTTCACAGTAAAAAGTTAATCTGATTTATAAATAGATAAATTATGATCTATGTAAAGGAATTTTGATCTAACTAAATTAATCTACAATTAATAAATCAAGTTTATTTGCGGGTAGATAAAAATAGATACAGATAATTGACAAAAAATATATTTAACATTGGGTAGCAGATGTAGTCTCCTTGTTTCCAAACATGAGCCAGCAACAATTCAACTGTAGGAACAGATGGATGAAGTAGCTATTATGTGGTAGCGAATGTAGTCTCCTTGTTTCCAAGCATGAGCCAGCAACAATAAAACTGTATGAATTAGATGGATGAAGTAGCTATCATGTGGTAGCAGATGTAGTCTTCTTGTTTCCAAACATGAGCCAGCAACAGTAAAACTGTAGGATCAGATGGATGAAGTATCCATATTGTGGTAGCTGATGTAGTCTCCTTGTTTCCAAACATGAGCCAGCAACAGTAAAACTGAATTAATTAGATGGATGAAGTAGCTATAATGTGGTAGCTGATGTAGTCTCCTTGTTTCCAAACATGAGCCAGCAACAGTAAAACTGTATGAATTAGATGGATGAAGTAGCTATAATGTGGTAGCTGATGTAGTCTCCTTGTTTCCAAACATGAGCCAGCAACAGTAAAACTGTATGAATTAGATGGATGAAGTAGCTATAATGTGGTAGCAGATGTAGTCTTCTTGTTTCCAAACATGAGCCAGCAACAGTAAAACTGTATGAATTAGATGGATGAAGTAGCTATAATGTGGTAGCAGTTGTAGTCTTCTTGTTTCCAAACATGAGCCAGCAACAGTAAAACTGTATGATTAAATGGATGAAGTATCTATAATATGGTAGCAGATGTAGTCTTCTTGTTTCCAAACATGAGCCAGCAACAGTAAAACTGTAGGATCAGATGGATGAAGTAGTTATAATGTGGTAGCAGATGTAGTCTCCTTGTTTCAAACATGAGCCAGCAACAGTAAAACTGTAGGATTAAATGGATGAAGTAGCTTCACAATTTCATGTAATTTTCAACTGTGTCCGATTCAGAATGCTTCCCTTTAAAGCTTTGACTGACCTTGATGCATGAGATATCCATGTTTTTTTGTTTAAAAATTGATTATTTCCAATTGTGGTTTCTTTTTTAAGTGATTACTGAATTTCTGCTGTAGAAAAAATGGAGGAAGTTGTCAAAATTAAATGCTTTTTAAGCTAGACAAAGGATAATATCTTATAATTACTTTTAAAAAAGGAATTTCCTTAAGATAATCTTTCCGTACTCTGTAGACAATGCTAAAGCTATGTTGATGTGTCCAAGAGACAACTCACGAACAATTCTCTGAAATGACGAAATCATGATATTTGCATTTAAACCAACTTCAAGATGAAATAAAATACCTTTACCTGCATCTTTGTTGCCTTAGAATCATCTGCAATAGAAACAAAGTGATTCAGAATTCCTGATAATGTTTCTGTCAGATTCAGTTTACGATCGTTTATAAAAACAATCGTTTTTGAAAACGATCGTTTTTAAAAAAAGATCGTTTTTATTAAAATGATAGGCGACCGCTTTTTGTACGTCGATTGTTTTTTAAAAAACGATCGTTTTTGAAAAAAAATTGTCGTCGTTAACGACCGTTAATGAAGGGTTGTCGTTAGCGATCGTTAACCAAACGAAGAACTTAATAAAAATAGTCGTTTTAAAAAAACTATCGTTTTTGAAAAATAAATTGTCAATGATAATTATGCAACTTAATCAAATGTCGTCTTACATGCAGGTAAAAGGTTGTGGGGAGCTAAACTTCTTTATTGTTTCATTTAAACTATAAAATGATAAGTACCGATGCCCTTTAGGTTAGTTTCCTCTCTCCTCTTCTCTTCGTTAATGATCGTTAACAAAGTGTCGTCGTTAATGATCGTTAACAAAGTACTTTTGTTAAGGATCATTATCAAAACAACAAGCTTTATAAAAACAATCGTTTTTAAAAACGACTGTTTTTAAAAAACGAACTTTTTGAAAAACCGATCGTTTCGTTTTTAGTTTTTTCGTCGTCGTTTTCAAAACGAAAGAATCGTTTTTCAAAAAAATGAAAACGATAACATCCCTCTTAACACAACACACCAGTAAAATTCAGGGTTTTCTTTTCAATTTCTACATCATTATTTCTGTTACCTTCGGCCATTTTTGTTGACAAGGCAAACAGTTACATTCAAAATTAAGTTATCTATGACGATGTTGTATGTCTGAATTATTTTCTCTTTGATAAATTTGTCCAACCTTAGAGCAAACTGTGTGATGTTTTCTTGATTAGATCTTGCATTTAGTAAGGATTCATTCAAACAATCTTATAATATTTTTTAATATATATTTTTTAAATTTCTTATTAATATCTTATTATAATATGTGATTACAACCTAGTGCTTCATTGTATTTTCTTGATTGTATGTAATCCTTCCCCTTTTCATATTTCTCTTTCCACATGGAAAAACCTTTCCCAAAATTCTCCTGAAAATTGAAGCTTCGACTAAATTAGAAATAACGAGGTATAGGAGTCTTTTGTGATGAAAAATGTATTTTACTTAATTCAAATTATTTCCCTTTTAGGTTTCTCTTTCAACCTTTCCGAGAGTGTTCTTCTTAGAAGATCTTCAGGATAGAAATTAAAATTTGAAAGCTGACCTTTTTAGCTTTCGATATGTCACATCTTTCCTTCCGGCTTTAAGGTTCACAATTTGCATTAATAAATTAAAATTTAACACACACTTGGCTCCGTTCGTTCTTGTAAAAGAACAATTGCTTCCAAGGAATGATATTCAGCCCTAGCTATGAACACCCTATCACATCATAACAAACTATGAAATAGAATAACTCCATAATAATAATATTAGAAAAACTCTGCTTTCTTTTCCTTTGCAGTTTGAAGTTGAGAGAGAGCAGTTTCATGAACAAACATCAACTTCTCAGCCTTCGGTAGTTCTCGTCCCAGCGTTCTATCCAGTTCTTGTAAAATTGAATCCAATCAGCGAAAAATATTAAATGTTTGCTCAAGTGGAAAATTGTGTTGTAGGTTTCAAATACAAGTATTTGTAATTTATCATATACTTGCCTGTCAGTACTTCCAGGACAATTGTTTTATATTCTTTTTCTTATTCTCGTTTGGATTAATTCATGTCAACTTCAAGTCATGGACAATTTAAATCAGCTACTTTCTTGTCTAACTAACCAATATTAACAAATTTGTGAAAAATAATAATTAATTAATAATCCAAATATTAGTTCATTTATTTCTGCTAAATTGTGGAATCCACTCCTGATAACTCTTGTGGGCTGAAGATTTTTGCTTAAAAAGCTATAAACAATAGAATGGGAGAATTGAACTTTAACATGTGAGCGTGCAAAATTTTGCAGAAGATTTTATTGCCATTGCGCTTTAGCATTCTAACAGATGTTACCCTTCCAATATAAAGTTAAGAATTGAGATTTCAGGGGAGTAAATTTTATTAGATATGAGCTTGAATTTCTGTATAATTTATTCTTCCTCAAGAGTTTAAATCTTAATTTAAACTCTTCTTTAATAACTAACCATTAGACAAGGACGATAGATTTCGTCTAATCCCGGCATGCAATGCCCTAAAACCAGTTTATGCAATGCAGATATATTTTTAAATATTCATGTACTAATCCTGTCGAGGACTAATCCAAAAAGTGGTTTGAATGTTTTAAAGCTTTACCAATCAGAGGTCAGGATTCAAATTGTATGAAAACTGTTGGGAATGCATTTTTTTTTGAGATTTGGCTGAATTTTCCATTTTAGGTTTTATTACTTTTTTCATACGGATTTCCATTAAAAGTAATGGTAGGAAATTAATAATGGGAGGTGTTTTTAAAGTCAAACTTTTAGTATGGTTTCCAAAAATACTAGAAGAAAAAATAAATCAAGATTTGCTTTGTTCCAAACTATCCAGGTACCCACCCCTGACAGTGCATATATGAGGGCGGAGTTGATGAATGATTGCATTCCAACTGACACTGATAAGGAGCAAGAAACGACTGGTAATTTATGTACTGTTAAACACACCTCCTTTCAAAATTGAATTTAGATTTTCTAAAATGTTTTAACATTGCATTGTAAGTGCCTTTTGACGCATTTTCTAACAACCTTGTTTTTTATATCTATCTATCTATCTATCTATCTATCTATCTATCTATCTATCTATCTATCTATCTATCTATCTATCTATCTATCTATCTATCTATCTATCTATCTATCTATCTATCTATCTATCTATCTATCTATCTAAGAATAGAATTAATCAAGATAATCCTTCATGGTTTCACCGAGAATAAAGAAAAAAGATGAAAAATTATTTCGTGATCCACAGAAGAAGATTATCCAGGGATTTATTTATTCTTTTAACCAGATTATTTAACTAAATTTCTAATTCAGCTGAAAAGAATTCCTACTAAAAAATATAACCTGAAAAAATATAATCGTCAAAACTTTTTAACCAATTGTTCTTATTTTTTTGTCTAGCATGTTTTTTTACAGAAAAACTTTAAATTTAAAGAAAGTTAATTTTTGAAATTTTGAAATATGTGAGACATCTTAGATTCTTGTAAAGCATCTGAAAGTTAAGAAAATCTGGAAAGTTAAAACGAAAATTTACCCCTGTACACTGCAAACCTAACATGTAAGGAGAAAGTTATATATATGCAACATTACTGTTACGAATTTGGGACCTCTTTGCTCCTCCAGTTGTGGTTTAACACCCAAGTATGATAAATAAAGTTTATCTGGTTATATATTAAATATTAAAAACATTTTATTCTTCTCAAAATCTCTTTAATAAGAGGAGTTAGGATTAAAAACATTTAATATTTTGTGTGTAATTTACTTTAACTTAGCATGTGCAAGGTTATAATGCAAGGAAAGTTATTTAACGTTGCGTATACTCTACGTACATATTGAAACTAGTTCTCTCTGGGCGGACTTTGTAAACAAGAATGGGTGCATCAGTGTTCGTTTAGTATCCGAGGAGGATAAAAGCATTTAATTTTGAAAATTCTTATAATTCACATAATAGTTTCCTATGACCAAAATATTTCATTGATTTTTTATCATGAGGCTGTTACATCCGTCTTGTGTAATCCGCCCAGAGAAAGTACAATGCACTTCAAAAGATGCGTACACCTTTGAATTAAGTTTCCTTACATTATAACCTTGATCATGTGTATACTGTAAAGTATTAACCTGTATAGTAGGTTTAGTTTAGCGTGTGTATTGTGTATACTATAAAGTATTAACCTGTATAGTAGGTTTAGTTTAGCGTGTGTACTGTGTATACTATAAAGTATTAACCTATATAGTAGGTTTAGTTTAGTGTGTGTATTGTGTATACTATGAATTATTAACCTGTATAGTAGGTTTAGTTCAGCGTGTGTACTGTGTGTACTATAAAGTATTAACCTATAAAGTAGATTTAGTTTAGCGTGTGTACTGTGTATACTATAAAGTATTAACCTGTATAAGAGGTTAAGTTTAGCGTGTGTACTGTGTGTACTGTAAAGTATTAACCTGCATAGTAGGTTTAGTTTAGCGTGTGTACTGTGTATACTATAAAGTATTAACCTATAAAGTAGATTTAGTTTAGCGTGTGTACTGTGTATACTATAAAGTATTAACCTGTATAGTAGGTTTAGTTTAGCGTGTGTACTGTGTAATGTGTATACTATAAAGTGTAGAGTAGGATATACCCCTTCTGTTTCCCCTTGACTTGAAAATTCGTAACAATTATTTAGTATGGCAGTTGTGGTTCAAAATTATACAGTTTGTCACATGATTTCTTCCCTTTTCTGACTCACAGACACTCAGACAAACATTACATAGAGTAGACACATAGACAGATATACAATTAAAAAGACTGATATGAAAAGATTGATAAAAAAATATGTTTATTGCTAGAGACAGATAGATAAATCTGTACGTACGTAAGTAAATAGATAGACAGCTATATTGAATTAATAACAATATATGAAAAGATATCTCTATTTACATGAAGTAGAAATATCTATTTGTTTGTCTGTTCATTTGTTTGTTTGTGTGTTCGATCATAGCTCAGGAACCCCTTGACCGATTTGCCTCTAATTTTGATTATAAACTCAGTAGAACCACGGAAATGTTCTTATAGCTTTGATTAAAAAAGATAAGGTTTACTTTCCTTGAGAAAGCTAGTAGAATATATAAAGAGAATTGAAAACATACAAACATATGCAAAAGATAACATAGAAAAAAACAGTTAGATATGTAGACACGAAAACATAGACAGATAGGTAGACATAGACAAATATGAACAAATGGTATTTCTGTATTTCTATTTTAACTGTCATAAGATGGATTTGTAACATTTAAACTTATATATATAATCTTATTTTACAGAAAAGGTCAGTTTGAAGTTTGGATTTAATTCTAAATTAAAATATTATTTCATCAGCACTCTTTCCCGGTGGCGTTCTGGAGAAATACATTGAACACATTTTTATCAGAAATAGATTTGAAACTAATCTTTCATTTTTCAATTAAACCTTTTAAAATGTTAATGCTAGTGGGCCTTTTTTCTTTGAATATTCAGTTTTATCTATATAATAAACCTCTTATGTATTTATATGAATGTTTAAACGATAGCTATGTATATCTGGCTAAACAGCTGAACCGAACAGGCTGAAATTTTTGAGGGAACCCATGTGTAATCGGGAGTAAAATAGGCCAAACAAATTTTGACATTTTTTTTCTAAAATCGAAATTTTTTTTAAAACATCAAATTTTTCTCAAAAATTGAAATATTTTTTTTTCAAAATTTAAATCTTTTTGAAATTCAACGGGCAACGCCGGGCACTTTAGTAAGTAGACAATAAAACATTAGTTTGCAACAAAAACTAGTTTTATGCAAAAGAGGGTGCTTGAAGGGGGAAGATTTTAAGGAAATTGATACTGCTTTTATAGTGTCTCAAAAAAGTAAAAATATTATCGTCAAAAAAAAAGAATGTGAACGAATATGTTCTAAATTATGAGCAGAATATTCTGTTCCTCATGACGAACAAAATATTAGCGTAGCGCTTAAAACTAATTCCTACTTGAAATCGTCCATGACCGCCGAATATTTCGCTTCAGTAGTTCAGCAGTTGAAGGAACATAAACCTGAAAATTAATTAGAAAATAAAAAAAACATCAGCAAAAACCAAAAACGTAAAAATATATATTGAAAACCCAAATTTAACAAAATTAGTCAAACAGAAATCTAAGGAATTGATTTTTAAAAATCTTTATAGCTTTGAAACCTGATGGTGTAAACGTGTTATAAAACAGAACTTGACCATTTGATCTAGCAGAATTCAGTTGGAAATAAGAAAGGTTTGAGATATCAGGTTACAAAGAGAAAGGGATTAAAAAATTAATTTGAAGTAAGTAATTAGTCATTTTGATTTAAGATAAATACTACCTTCCCCCCTCCCTTTATTTCATTATTATATAAATATTACCTTCCCCCTCCTTTTCTTCCATTATTATATAAATATTACCTTCCTTCTACCTTTCTTCCATTATTAGATAAATATTACCTTCCCCCCTCCCTTTATTCCATTATTAGATAAATACTACCTTCCCCCTCCTTTTCTTCCATTATTAGATAAATACTACCTTTCCCCTCCCTTTATTCCATTATTAGATAAATATTACCTTCCCCCCTCCCTTTCTTCCATTATTAGGGATAAACTCATTGACCCATTGTCCACTAGCTGCTGCGATTTCCCTGAAAAAAAAGAAGTATTCAAAGAAAATTTTTGTTAAAGATAAAGATAATTAAAACGCTGGTTCAATTTTATTTTAACAGTTAAAATGGTCGTATTTAGTTAATCTACTTCTATCTGTTCATCTAAGATAAAGTTATAATTTTTTTTGTCTTGATTATACTCTTTTTAAATCACTTTGACAAAAAAAGAAATAAGTTCAGAGAGTTTCAGAGAATCGTGAATATAACGAAACATACAGCATCAGTTCTGTACAGTCGTCTCTGCAGTCTCATCCTTTGTGGGTTAATAGTTAGACAGAAGGATAGATACATACAGAGATAGAAAGATGTACCGATAGATAGATGATTATATATATTTTAAATATATAGATAGATAAATAAATGGATGAATAGATGTGGTATTGCATGCATATTGCACACGTCCCAACAATTGTCTTCAACGTTTTTCAGTTTGGAAATATGTATGTTCACTTTAGGTTGAATACAGTTGTATTTAAAGATAAAGGTGTAATAAATATTCAGATTTATAAAAGAGAGAAAGTACACATAGATAGATAAATAGAAAAGAGATAGATAGATAAATAGATAGATAGATAGATAGATATATATATAGATAGATAGATAGATAGATAGATAGATAGATAGTTTAACAGATAGATGGACAATTAATTACATAAATAAAGAACTTGAGTCTTGACAACTTTTTACAAGTTCATTTAAACTAAAAAATTATAAAATCATATAAATGGATGGAAAGATATGCTATGCAGTGTATTCAATATATATATGTTTAATATTTTATATATTTATAATATATTTGATATTTATATAATATATATATATATATATATATATAAACTGATCATCATATAATGTATGTGTTGCTATTTTGAATTTATAGCGGGTTAAAAGGTGAAAAGGATTTATTTAAAGCATTACAAGATACAAGCTATGATCAACAATCATAATTATAACACCAGTCGCAGGGGTGGGGGGGGGGGCATGGGCGTATATACTGAATAATGTCCTGCTGTGGTTTCATCATAAAATCAGTCCAGAGAGAACATTACTTCAGGGGCAACTCCGTCATTTCTTTTAGTTATCAGAGGCAACAAATTTAATATTTAAGAAAATAAGTGCAATGGATAATTATCAAGAGACTCCAATCACCTTTCCATTTATTATTTTCTAAGAAATATTTACAAATTCTGAAATATTTTTGATTTTAGGAGAACTATTATAATGAGAATTAAACTATATCTTTTGTCAAAGAAAATTTCAAAAGTGAATTTTTCTCTTTGTAATTACTTCACCCCCCCCCCCCCGTTAAAGCTTTAGGTGCGAACTGCAGTTTTCTGCAGTACACTGCAGTTGTCTGCAGTACACTGACCGACCAAATATTGTGTTTTAGTGTGAGTGCCCCATCCTAATCCATTCCTTGAACTACCCTTTAAACATCGATGATTACCGTTAATCAAGCCATGGCACATTGTAAACTTTTATAAACTATTAAACCAGATTTTCCATTTAAGGTATAGACCTAGAGCTGACCACGTGAATCTAACTAGAGCTGATAATATCCGGACTGTATCTGAACCAACTTAGTCAATTTCAGAACGTTTGTTCACTTACATCATATATCACATTTAATTCATAAATTCATAAATTCATAAATTCGTAAATTCATAAATTCATAAATTCATAAATTCATAAATTCATAAATTCATAAATTCATAAATTCATAAATTCATAAATTCATAAATTCATAAATTCATAAATGCATAAATGCATAAATTCATAAATTCATAAATTCATCAAGTAATCAAAAATCAAATAATCTAATTTCTTCGATCAAATTTGGATAAAAATGGATTAAAAAGGTGAAATATGGTCCATGGTATTTCACATCTGCTTAAGTTGACATTTAGCAAAATATTGATTTTAAAAAGCCCCCCCTGCCCCCCCCCCCGGTGCCCCCGCTCCTAATTAACGAAGAATGGAAATAATGAGAAGCAAGTGAGAATCTGATAAAATTTAAAATCCGTCGCATCCTGTTCTTAATTAGGCACTACACAAAACACAAAACACATCTTTCAAAAGAACTGTAGATGTAATTTCAAGTGATCCTCCATTTGTAGAGTGCCATATTCGATTCACAACAGTACCCTTTAAACATGTCACTGGTCAAGGATGTCGAAGGTATCCTTATATACTCTACAAAAGCTTATGTTACAGTTACATGTTGAACACCTGTTTTTCAATTTAGAAAATAATATTATTTACTCATTAAACAACAACTCTTCACATTCGAATTTTTGAAAACCGCTTTAAACATAGAATACTCGATATTTTTGAGGTATAAAGGTCACACTGTGCGCAAGTGTACACTCTCCTTTTAATTGATAGATAAACACACAGAGTTCTTTGGTATCAATGATCTGTCTAAGGTTTAAAGGGTACCGTTGTAAATCTGGTATTCCTATCTTAGCATGGAGAGTCATTTAAAATTACTCTTATAGTTCCTTAAAGTTGGGGGTCATTAACTACAAGTACAACTACAAGTACAACTACAAGTACAACTGCAAGTACAACTACAAGTACAAGTACAAGTACATGTACAAGTACAACTACAAGTACAACTAAAAGTACAACTACAAGTACAACTACAAGTACAACCCCTCGGGCACCCTTTCCCCTACCGAGCTCACCCCTCCCCCCCTCTCTCCCTCCCTCCGTATCTAACTGAATATTCATAGATAAACTGAAAACCACGGAATTCACACAACAACATATCCTGCCAAACATACAAATATTAAATAATTCAGGGTATTCTCCCCTTCAAAGGGGGGGGGGGGTTTATTAGAAAAAATATTTTGTTTTTATTTTACGATTTTGTTTTCTTCAAAATGGTTTGTAAAAATGAAGATTTTAAGATTATTTTCCTTATGTTCAGGTAATTTAGAATCTCATTTAGACCACAGAAATGAATACCCCTCCCCCTTTTCCTTAAATCTCCTATCTACCCCCCCCCCATAGCTTGCTGCACGGCTTGACTAATTAAGTCATGTTATCACGTTGTGTCTACCACTGTATCTCTTGTATCTCATGGGAACAAAATAATTATTGAATTCAGTGGATTTAAATTTCATAAATTCATTCATTTATTACTAAATTTATTAAGGCCCAAAATTGATGAGTAGCGAGAAGTAGTTAAACCACTACTTTTTTGCACTGGTTCACGTTGGTTCAAGAGAACTGGTTCAACTTAGTCTACGTCCAAAGTAGTTCAACTTCTCGATATTCATTAAATTTGGTCTCCTATAGTTATAAGTAAAAAAAGAAATATTATGTGCACTTACAATTGCATTAACTCATTTATTAATTAGTTTTTAATTTAATCGATTCATTTCTCTTGTTAAATATAAATTGTTATTAAAATTTAAAATTTATGAATTAATCTTTAGATACATAAATTACTACTAAGCTTGTAGGATGAATTTTCAAAAATAGTTTAATTGTCATCTGAGTTGCCATGAAAAATTTGGGCAGTTTTGACATTTATTGGATACAAACAAACTGACGGAGAAGCAAAGTAAATATAAATATGCTATTATCATAATTGTAAATGGCCCCCCAAATGGATGATTGAGCTGGGTTTGGAGGGTTGTCTCTGTCTCTGTCTCTGTCTCTGTCTCTGTCTCTGTCTTTGCCTTTGTCTCTGTCTCTGTTTTTTGATACCAAAACTGTTTTTGTTGAGAAGCTAGTAATAAATAAATATATAAGAAGGTGTAGAGCCGTGTAGTAACTTAAAACTCCCACATCTTGTGAATTAACTGTTAATTCAGCTAATACTAATACCACTGCCCACTATATACATTTTATAGAGTAAACCTCTGCCATGCGCTTAGGTATGCAACAGCTAATTAATTTTAATATTATGTAGGCATATTAAACTAAAACGGATTTATCAACCTTTAAAAATATACATCTCCATGATGAAAATTTATAAATGGAGAGATATTGATAAACTGCTTTATCTATATAGTCTATTTAAACCTCTCTCTGAATAACAATGAGGAAGATATTGGCGTTTATCGTAAAAATGTGTTGAATTCTGTGCATTTCCTTTACTGTATGAAGCTATAGATATGAATTAGATATCAATGTTTTTCCTTTTGAAAACTTATTATTTCCACTCGTGGTTTCTCTTCAAAAGTGACTTGCGCATTTCTACTGTAAGAAAACATATTCAAACTAACTGAAATCAACACTTTTAAACCAAGCAAAATATCTTTCACATTTATGAATCAGATAAAGGTTTCAAGGGTATAGTTGTTAATCGGACAATAACATCTTGGTCACTTGAAATTATGCTTACAGTCCCTTTAAGACAACGTCCCCAGTTCCTTTGAACTACTGCTTTTCTACTAATTAAGAACTCAGCATGCTCTACCCTCACTCCACAGCAAGGTTATAATGCAAGGAAAGTTATTTCGGAGGTGTTGGCATCTTTTGTACTCCGGTGTACTGTCTCTGGGCGGTAATGTAAACACAAGACAGATGTCGAAGCCTGACATGGAATCCATCTTTCACATAAAAATCAAAGAAATATACTGGCCATGGAAAACTATTATGTGGATTATCAAAATTATCAAAATTTAATGCTTTTAACCTCCTCGGATACTAAACGAACACTGATACACCCATTCTTGTTTCCAAATTCCGCCCAGAGAGAACTGGTTTCAATATGTACGCAGAGTATACGCAACTGCAATTAACTTTCTTTGCATTAAAACCTTGCTCCACAGTATCTTAACACAATTCCTTTGAGAGACCTTCATAATTTTACAATTCATACAGTATGTTTCAGAAAACATTATTTTATAATTATAAATTTAAATTTTACTTCATGCTCTGTTATAAACTATAGAATTTTACTTCATACTTGACCATCATAATTTTTGAGACAAACCACAAGCTAATTTTCAGATTTTTTAAAA